CATTCCTCATTTAAAATTTTTTTCTTAATTCCATAACAAAATAATAGGAGGATGACAGTAGTTAACATATTACATGCTGTTATCTTCAAAGTAGTTGCTCAGTATACAAGGCAGGGGCATAAAACTTTCTCTAATTGATATTAGCACAAACCTTCCTTTTTTGGTGAACTTAAGAGACACCAATAATGTAACTGACTTGCACTGTTTTCCTTTTCCCTGCTGTCCTCATTTTTGAAAGGAATTATTACCTGAACTGGAGCCTCATTTTTTATACATGACTATCTCTGCACTCAGCTGAGGTGCTGGAGTACCAACTATACCGTGTTACTTTGGATCTGTTGCTTGCCAAACACTCTAGAAGCAAAGAAATTTGAGGCAAGCAACTGCCTTCAAGGGGCTTCCCCTAAGAGATGGACAAGGAGCGGCAAGATGGGAACCTTGCCTGGTCCATGGTAGGAGCACCTTGCAGCGCGGCTTTGGAACCCCGCCCCTTCGAGGAGGGCGTCTTTCTGCCTTTGTGCGTGCATTCCTGTGCGCGTGGCAGATGTGTGAGTGGAGGCTGTAGATAGAATTGCAAGGGGAAACCAAAATGGGCAATGGATGATTCAGATTTTTAAAATGTATTACACTAATACACAATTCGTCCCCTCATCCATCACAAACACACCTATCCCACTGTTCTGACTGCTTTCTGAAGCAAGAATATGGTGAGTACTGCTGTCGAGAGCGACTAGGCACAAAGGCAGGACCGTAAAACATTGCCGTGTGTCCTCAGCCACCTTACTCACGAGGTCGGACACCATGCGATTTCCAGGTCTTCATCAAAATAGCCATGAGACGCAAATCCATTCAGGGAGTCACAGCAGTGCAACCAAAGACACTCACCAAAGAGGACTTCTAGAAGTGCTTCAGAAAGTGATGATCATGGTGGGATAAGCCTGGCCAAGGTGAGGGTGTGCTTTGGGGGGAGGTGATGACAATGTGTCTTTATCTGTACCAAGTTTTACAAAATTTAAACTTTTGCTGTATGTCTTCAGTCATACCTCAGCAGTGCTCTCTTGGCTCCAGAGAGACCAAGGAAGACTAAGCAGAAGGTACTTAAAAATAGTTCAAGTTGTCTAGCCTGGCAGAGCGGCGTTAGCCAGATGCTAATGGGCCCTGGGTCAGACTGAGGAATTGGGTCTTAGTGTCTCTTAGATGGTAGCTTTTGAGAACAAAAAGCTCCTCAGAGTGACATCTGGTGGGGAAGACACATACTTGGAGGGATGTGTGTCCTTGTGTGACTGGCTGAAGGATGCTCAGTGAAGTTCCTAGGAGAAGTTCTAAAAAACAAAAGCCGAGTGCAGAAGCGGCCTCATGGAGTCGAGTGTGTGATTTTCTGTGCAGAGGACTTTGGTACAACTCAACAAGGTTCCTGCCTTGGTTACCTTTCACTCGCTGCTGAGACAAAATACCCAACACCCACAATGAAGGAGGAAAGGCTTATGTAGCTCACAGTTTGTGGAGGTTTCAGTCCATACTCAGCTGGCTTCAAGGCAGAGTGGCACATGGCAGAAAGCAGCAGCTTGTGGCAGCAGAAATCAGCAAAAAAAAGCGAAAAGGAGAAGCAACGGCTGAGGCTTCTAGCCAGCCTCTCTTCCTTCTTTCCACGCTGATTATTTCAAAAGTAATGTGCTAATAGAAAATAACTAACGATGTCTCTCACCCAAAGAAAACTTACAGCTTTGAAACAAACACCTGTAAGGCTGGGCATGGTGGTGCGTGCCTGTAATCCCAGCACTCGGGAGGCTGAAAACAGAAGGATCACCGTGAGTCTAATCTACGTAGTGAGACCCTGTAGACTCTGTCCTAAATATAGAGGAAAAACACTGAACACCTCAAATATCCATATCCATATGGCACTCCCTTCCATCTCTTTTCTGAGTCTCCCTTCTCTGGCTCATGGCTCATGGTCACCATTATGGACACTGTTCTTGCAGGAAGCTGGTGCAAGTATGGGGGTGGTGAGTGAGAGGAGAGAGCTGGCTGTCTTGAGACCTCCTAAATTAGTTGTCCTTTGTCTTTCTGGCTTTATCATTGTTTGGCTGGTGGCCGGTGCATCTGGCTTCCTTCCATGTGTCTGTTTATAACCACTTCCTTTTTTAACCTTTGATTAAGTGCTGGAATGTCTAATGACTGGGCTTGTCAATATGTGTTTTCAAAGTAGGATTTCTGGGTAGATGCTGAGAGGGGACAAAGGGACTGTCTTTTGAATTGGAACATAAATGGCAATTATTTTTGCTGTCAGAAAAACATTATTTATCAGTGTAGGGATAATTGAATTGTACATTATTAGGGTTATCTAATCAGGAGGCCTTACTCTTAGGGACACTTTGGCTGAGAAAATAAAAAGAGAGGGAGGGAGGGAGGAAGGGAGGGAGGAAGAGAGGGAGGAAAAGAGGGAGGGAAGATGGAAAGACGGAAGGGAGGGAGGGAGGGGCGGAGGGAGGGAGGGGGAGAGAGGGGGGAGGGAGGAAGGACGGAAGGATGGAAGGAGGGAGGGATGGAGGAAAGGAGAGAGAGAATAGAGAGGGAGGGAGGGATGGAAGAAGGAAGGAGGGAGGGAGAAAAGAGGGAGGGAGGAAAGAAGGAGGAAGGGAGGAGAGAGGGAGGGACAAAAAGGGATGGACAGGGAGGAATAGAACCAGGGCAGTGCTTTGTAGTTTTTGTCCACCCTTTTGAATTTCTCCCTTTTTTCCTCTCTGCTTTTCACAGTGGCTTGAACTTCATCGACTTGATGGTGCGACAAGGGAATGTTGACAACCCTCCCAAGACGCCCCTGGTTCCAGGCTTTGAGTGTTCTGGGATTGTGGAAGCGCTGGGGGACAGTGTGAAGGGATACGAGGTAATGCTGTGGCTTTGGCTTGAAGAGTGATCTTTCCAGGAGTCCACTGAAGGCTTATGGAAGAATACATTTGACGTAGCCTGGGCCATGTTTTAGTAGTATGGTTGCTTTATGTGGTTTGGGGAACACCATTTTCAGTGATAGTGTTTTCAAAAATCTCATGAATTCTCAGTACTAATTTATTTGCTTCTAGCAACACTTTGCTTGGTGGGCAGAGCCGATCTTGTCACCCCTGTTATTCGTGCAATTCAGATGCTACAGAAGAGTGTGCGGCTTTGGGCCAGCGAGATAGCTCAGAGGTCTAAAGCACCCACTTAGGCAAGCTTAAGCAGGCACAGGGGACTGGTTTGATCCCCAGCACCACATGCTGTGCCAGCCCCGCTCTCAGGGTGGGCTGAGCTGGCCAATAAATAAAGAAATAAGTTTACGGCTTTGGATTCACCGAGTAGACAGAGGTCCTTTCTCCATTACAGTTCCTACTTCTGTAACCCTGGACTCAAAAATCAACTACAAGACAAAAGGTTTGGGGGAAATGGCACCTATGTTTTATAATTTGGTTCCTTTAAATATTTATTTAACTGATTAATTTAAATTATCGTTTATAAATCCCTATTTCAAGAGTGGGGGTGGGCCCGGGGAGATGGCTCAGTGAAATAAGCATTTCCCTGGCAAGTAGAAGGTCCTGAATTCAATCCCTAGTTCCGCCAAAAAAAAAAAAAAAAAAAAAGAAGAATGAGGGGAATCCCATTTTCAAATCAAAGAGATTGTCCCACAGTCGTAAGTGAAATATATCAGATTGGCGTGTATAAATATCGTGTTGTCTCCCTATGTAAGAACCTCAACGAGTAAATAAGATCTGAAAGGTACAATAGATGCTGTGAAAGGGAAAGAAAATATATGAACGGAAGGAATAGCTGCGGTGAGGAAAAGGACAAAAGAAAGAAAGAAGGAAGGGAAAAGGACGTATGATGGATATATGAAGGATAGCTTAGATAATTGTGCTGCTTATTTCTGCTGGTCTATTGAAAGGAGCAGTGAATGTTTCGTTTTTTCTTCTCCTTTTTAATTTCTTATAACTTTTTTCTTACCAATTTTGCATGCTTATGTCTGGTAATCGAAACAACTAATTTGAAGACAATAATGTGCAGTGTAACAACCCTTGTTGAATTCTTATTATCTTATTTAGCGAAATTCTGTATCTTTTGTAGTGCTTTTCTTTACTATTTCTTATAAAGAGTAGAAGTCTGGAACAGTGGGGCAGAATTGCCTGTGATTGATGGGTTTGTGAGTAGGGCAATGGGTGAAACAAGTTTATTATACATGTCTGGCTACTTTTGTCTGTGTTCATAATTCACCACACAAAATAATCTTTTAACCTGTGGAAACATGGATGACCCTTCCTACCATGATGGCATGAAGCCAGTAGAATTTGGTCCCTAAAGACTGGGAATTACATATAGAAAGTTACAACACAAATAAAAGGAAAGCGAGAACTTGAGGATTGGACAATGAGGAGTGGGCAAGGAGAAAAGCTGAGAAAATGACAGGGGCAAAGCCATGCATTTGTACGCACGAGATGGGTGGGGCAGTGATCCTGGGGGACCTCAGCAGGTTTTTGAGACTAGCAGTTGGCTGGTGAGAGTCTCACCCTGGCTAATTCTATATGCTGGTACCCATGAGCCAGGTGGCTGCACCAAGGATGGCAATGTGTAACAGAGGGGTCACGCTTGGAGTGCCTGCCATCCTCGTCTTCTAAATATGTACTTCTTTTCATGACATACTATTTATTGCCATAATGTCTCTCAATGTCAATGTTTTTTTAAAAGGGTAATAAATGAAAAAAAAGTCGCAAGAATAAGAAAAAAAATGTCACAGGTCTGTCCTGTTACAATTCTGTATATGGTTAGATTTCTAAATTTCTTTGTAAAATTATGTAAATGCTTATTTCTACCTTTATGAAATTATTTTTCCTACATATTCTGTAAGGTCTTGGGCCAGTGAGATGGCTCAGTAGAATAAGTGCTTGCCTGGCAAGCGCAAGGGCCTGAGTTCAATCCCTGGTTCTGCCGAAAAACAAACAAACAAAAAAACAAAAAAAACCCTGTAAGGTCTTAAAGTTCAACATACCAATATTTGATGGAAAATACATGTTCCATGATATGTCAAAGATGTTTGATATTTAGACAGATAGGGTAAACCGAACTGCATATATTGCAGGTTAAAATAAGCTTCTCTTCTGGAGGGTTAACAACCTAGGTTAGCAGTTCAAAACTGGAGAAAAGGAAGGGCTGCAAGGTCAGCGAACATTTTGGCCCCAGCCTTTCAAGGTCAGTGAACACTTGGGACATAGGAGAACCTGTACTGTAACATCATGTAACTCTGTTGTGCTCCAAATTTTCTGATCAAAGAGATTATGGAGCCACAGAAGAATGTGATCGATGATGTATAGTGTGCCTGGGGAGAGTCACATGGAGAGAAAACATTCTCTCAGACTTTCACAGAGAGCAAATTGGTCAAGCAATGGCCATGACTCATCCTCATGGCTGACACTGACAAAGGATCTACAAAATGCAGTACAGGGTTACGGGATAAATCCTCAGGGTACTTCACTGATCATATCAGATACAAAAGTTACATTTCTTGCTATATAGGTCTTGCTTTATCTTGGTCTTAACCACCCAGAAGAAAAGTATAAAAATGAGGTATATAAAGTAAAGCCATATTAATACGATGAGCTGTAAAAGGCTCAAGTCAATAACTTCTGAGGATAACCCACTAATATTATAGACTGCTAGACAGTGTTGGATTGTTTAAATGAATTCAAACACCTTAGTCTTTAGATACCAATAGAATATCCACCTCTGACAGGACTAAACAAAAAAAAGGGGGGATACAAAGGAAAGATCATTTTGTATTTATATATACAAAATAGTTAGGATAGATATACAGCTACTTTGGCTTAATTCAATGAGAAGCAAGAGGTGTACTAATAGTGTTTGGACAGGATATCCTGTCTGCTTCTTGTACTATGGATAACCACTAAGAAGATAACAGTGTACGATGTATTGATTATCGAAACTGTCCTATTATTCAGCTTTGAAACTGTCTCTTCATATTTATTTCTTAATAAAAGGGAAAAAAAAAGACCAGGACACTATGAACAAATCAACTGCATAAATTTGTGGTAGTTTGGAGCCAGCAAAAGCAATATGAATGAACATGAGCTTCTCACTCACAGCCAGGTTTTCCCTTAGGGTGGATTGAAGGGAGCTAACCCTTGGAAACCCACTAGAACCAGAACCATAGAAGAAATATCTTGTTTTTACCCTTCACAAAGCCTTTCAAGGTAAAGACTGTCCTATCCCTTGAGTTTTAAAAGGGTCCTTTAATTTTCTGAGACCAGGAGGGTACTGTATCGTAGCAGAATGTGAATTCAGGTCACTACGGACTTTTTAATCTTCTGAAATCCATGGTTTTTATCCCTGGTCCCAACCCCCAAAGGCTGCAGAGCTAAGTCTAAGAAAAAGGCACCAAAGAAGAATCCTACAAAATCCAATGCCAAGGTGCTCTTCAAATAAAACATCAGCTTGTTTCTCAGTCTCAATGCCTCTGAGCTTCAGTATCCTCTAAAAATATCAATATGCTCCATATTCATTAAGAGGACTCTCTGGAAATCGCATCCTCCTTATCTGTCTTATTGTTAATGGTTTTCAGCTAAGCAGCATGGAAAAATGTTGAAAAAGAAATAAATGAGCTTTTGCATTTTTGTCACACAACTTTATACTTTCTGTCCCTAGGTAAGCAACATAACCAGAGACACATCATTGCCCCTGCAAGTGCTGCATGTAAAAAATATTATCTCTTCTTTACTCCTCCATGTGGGCCCAAAGGAAAAGATCAGATTGCTCACTATGTCAACCTGAGCATTGAATAAATAACAAGTTATTTTGGAATATAACAGGAAATGGGGATGTTATATGACTTGGTTGAGAAGAATAGCTTACTCTACTTGATATGGTATATAGTCACTATAGACATGATTTGTCCGCTGGCTCATTCTGGATTATTATGAAACCCACGATTCTGTCCCTTTCTGCTCCAGTGACTCAGGTTGCCCAAACAAATAGAAAAAGCCACCTCCACATTTCCAGGAAGGATGTGATGCAGAAGAGAGCCAGTATCAATATTCCGTGCGTAATTTTGACTTAAAGTTTTCAATCATGTTGCAGACAGAACTGCAGGCAGCCTCCTGAATAGTTCTCTTGGTCTGATCCATTGCAAGGGAGGATTGAAAAGTCATTGCCAGGGGCCCAGCAATAAAAGAATCATTTGGGCTCATTGGCTCAGAACGGATTTCTTTTTCCGAGCAAAGCCATATAATGAGATGAACCTGTGGGCTCTTCTAGTTAAAAGCCTAAATTCTGACTCTGAGGCTGAGGGCTCTAGGGGTGAGCCAAACTGGCCATTTTGAGCAGGAAATAGAGTGGCATAGCCAAGCTCAATGGGAGATCTCAGGGTGGGCTGTCACACCTCCACCCCCAGGACACCGACATGCTCGGATCTTCTTGCTCTGTAATGGCAGCCGCTGTGTGGCATTGCATCCCTGCGTGGGTTTTCATGACTGAGTAGAGAAGAGGGTAGTGTGGTCCCTACACAGTCATCTGTCCCAAACGCTGCATTGAGGGTGACATCCTGATGCTCATCATTTGATTTCCAGGCACAGGGACTCACTATCACTGGAGCGGCCTCTGTTTTCCCTGTACTCACCTTCTTCTCTGAGTTGCATGAGGTCAAGAGCCTCAGGTCGGGAACCAAAGTCGCGTGTTCTTGAGTCAGCGTGCATCGCTCTTTTCCCTTTCCCCACATACTGTGCTAAGCACATTGTGTGCATAAAATGCTATTTAATTTTCACAAGGAAGCTTTGCTATATTTATACCCATTTTACAGTGGAAGGAGCTGAAGTGTAGAGTTCAGATGATATCTCCAACCTCTGTAGTGTC